TCACCTTTCACACGCGGGAATTGAGTCCCATGCGATGATAACAACACACGCTAAAAATGCAAAGGCTCATGGGTAGACGCCTGTTGTAAACAATGACGCGCTATGGCCATCTAAAGCATGCGCAGGTGACGACTCCCCCGCTTTTAGTGGAATCTACACGCAAAATGTCAATTTCATTCTATTTTCTTAGAAATGCATATACTAACACACGGGACATTCCAGATGCCGATTGCATTCGGAATAGAAATCTAAAAAGTGTTATGATTTTGGCTGCTATTTTTTTTAGTTTGATCGGCATGTGTTGGAGAGTGTGTGTGTATAAAAATTACTCCTAGTACGAAATGCAGTATATTTACTGTAATACTATAATACCAGTAATAGCAGTAACGTAGTTTGGTTAAAGTTGATTGATTTGAAAGCTATGTTTTCTATGAATATGTATTTGATGTATTCACAATGTTTTATCTAACTGCCGACTGACTGTCGATTTCAAACAACAATGTATTTGTTGACACACGAAGATATGAGTGTGAAGTTTGTTGAAGTTTTATGAACCTCCGCTCAGGCCAAATCCAATCAGCTACAAATTTCATCTGGAAACCCAAGAGCGCCCTCAATCGCCGATTAACGCTGTGTGTCCAAACAGGTACTCGTTTATAAAGTACGTCAGCTAATTTTAAGTGGCATTTTAAAACGATGCGTTATATCACATGGCTTGTAAACTTGCTCTTGTCGCAGTAAATAAGGTTCAAACATATTAACACCGAAAAAAAGACAAACCAAGCAATTTTACGAGTCTTTGCTTGTTATAACCATAGACCTATGTTATAACTCATCGGCATTATTGTCAGATTAAAGCGGAGGGGGTCGCCACCAGCGCATGCGCGTTAATTGAGTTTTCCGCCTCAAGTGTCATGGCGCACCAAGCCACAAGAGGCCGGTAACTAGTAACGGTTCCGGCATTCTGAATAGTCCGTCACTTTCTCGTTGCTTGTTGTATTTCCCTTGGTTACCTGACTCTCGAAAGTTGGGCGGATAACAAACTGTTTCCGTTGTTATAAATTTGCACAGAAACAGCGAGAAATGCCAGAAACATCTCAAATATGTAAGTCTAAGCAAGCAAAATGTCAAATGTCACTTAGTAACATGACTTTAGGCCGGAATCCCGGCCCAGTGGAACAATATGGCGATTACTAGTTACCTGCACCCCACTCTTGCCATTCGCAAATGACACTGGGTACCAGCCACGATAACAACGACGCTAAAACGCAAAGGCTCACGGGTAGACGCTTTTTTGTAAACACCGTTTATATTTATGACGGAGAGACTATTACGGGATGTTAAAAGAGAAAGTGACACGGTGGTTGGCCGACTTTGTTTTGGAAAAAATGCGGGTGTTTATTAAACCCAGATTACAGAATTAGTACACTGGTACCACGCGGAACAAAAATAAGAATATTAAAAAGGGATTATCGATTGTAATAGTTTGACCTATAATACATGGAAGCTGCAACGTGTTCTCGCATCATAGGGCAATGCGATATGGGCCCCTTAGTCATTCATATTTTCTAAATAATTCGGATAACAAAAAGTACTCCATCAGTCTAGATATATCATAAGTTCACCCGGTGTCACCAGTTATATCTTCACCACAGGAACCAATGGGTAAAGGCGTTTTAAAATGAACATAATGAGCGCAAGACTGCCGCTCACTAAAATCACGTTCAACCATAATTATCTCGAAAAACAGGCTAGTGACCCCAAACTTTATATAAGTTATCATGTCGACTAGAAGCAATAATTTTCTTGGTATTTTAATTCACGAATAGACTTTTATTGCTGTGGTCAGATGTGACCCATAAACTGCAGTGCACGGGTTCGAGTGTCTGTTGACACAGTGCAAGTGATTGAATAGTTTTGTGATACGGCTACTTGAAATACGCGCTTTTCAGTAGAAACTCGTCCATTTACGGGGGCATTTCTGACGATGAGTGGTTTAATGGTTAGCAGTTCCGCCCAGCACAAGAGATTTGGGGTTCGAGTCATGTGGTCGGCGAACAAAAAAAAAGTGCATACTCTCCACATGCTAGGCTCGTGGCATTCAGTTTTGGGAATACGACATCCAGTCAAAGGAGATTTAAAAACTGTCAGTTCCGTATGCTCCCGTGCAAATAAACGAACTTCCTATCTTTACCACAAAGACAAGCGGGTCGCAATTCTGATTTTTGAGTTACAGTATTTGAGTTCACTTAAGGATAACCTGGCCTCTCCAAACTTGGTTCACTGTTCTTCTTATTGTTGTTGTTGTTATTGTTGTTGTTTATCACATGATTACATTATTCGTGCAAAATGCATTACCCGTTTTCCCTCTTAATTAGTCAGCAGCACGACAAATATGTTTTATATGAGCCCGTTGATTATTCCAACATCAACAGTATGGCCACGGGGAACGGGATGGCATGCTTACGTCGTATCACACTGTCGCTTTCAGTGTACGTTTCAAACTAGGTTAACGATTTTTAGATACAGGCTGAGAGAGATCACATCTGCGTCTACCATGTCCCGCGAGATCTCTTGTATAAGACTTGTGTTTGCCGTAAGTCCCACCATGCCGCAATATAGAACCCTTAAAAACAAAGACCTATGTGTTCTAGGCGAAAAATTACTTACCCGAACTAACGTGAAGTGAGTAATAAATGGGGGTGGGGCATGACTACAACTCGTGGGCACTAATGGGGGTGACGATGAGCGTGAAAGTGGGCGGTGATGGGACTATTCCGACGGCAAGTGACGGACCTGTCTCGTTTGTCATGTGTTTTTT